TGCTTTCCAGCTTGGCCATGAGTGAAAACGATAAGCTGAAAAACCACATGCAATAAACAAGAAGGAGCAGCCAACAAAATATCTTAAAATCTCAGAAATGTTCAATAAACATTTGCAGAGTGAGAAAATAAATAACATTGCAGAGGAGCCAACAGCTCGCTTTCTCCTTGTTACTGGGGTTCAGGGTGCATGTGTATCTCCCGACAGGTCGCATGTCTTGAAGGCAGGCCAGTCCCAGCTAAGAGGTCCTGACAGCTGTGCACTCCTCCCTCCCCCAGGGTCCCCCACACCCTCGATGGTCAGCTCCTGACTCCAAGAGCCCTTGGGCCTCAATCACTTCTCCCTCCTGGCTCCCTTCCTGGACCAGCTGCCCAGAGCCGTTTCCTCTCCTCTGCACACAGGAGCCTCGTCACCAGCTGGCCAGAGTCCACACCGGCCATGCCATTGAGGGCCAACAAGCTAGGAACTTGAGCTCATCCCCAGCTGGGTCCGGTTGGTTTGGTGGCCAAAGGGAAAACCCAGGACCTCCTGAGACTCTGGGTGGAGGCGGCTTGATCCCAGCCCCAGGTGCCAGCTGATGCCAGCCTGTCCACTTGACAGAAAAACACACGCTGGCCGCCTGCCCCGGGGTATTTCCAGAAGAGAAATTTAATCTAATTTACATACTTCTAGGTACATTGATAACCAAAATGTGGCCACTGAAAAAAGTTAAAAGATTGATCAGCTCCCAGTTTCTAGCTGGCCCAGGATCGCAAAATAAAAAGATCCACGTTCCTTATTCTCTACACAAAATGCGTTTTTAAAAAAGTGAAAGGTCTAAGGAGCTGTACATAGAAAGGAACAGTGAAAAGAGGGAGGGGATAGGAGTGGGGAGGAAAGTCCCACCCCACCCCTTCCAGGGCCCAGAGCCCCCAGAGGTTCTGGGGGGCCTGGACATGGCAGGAGGCAGCTGTCAGCTCTGAGCTCTTCCCAGCTGGGAAGGCCCCTCTGGGGGAGGGGGGGCGGCCAACAAGGATTTCCGTGGCATTGTGGGCTCAGTGGGGGCTCCCAGGCCTCAGTGGGCCCGCAGAGGGAGCGTACCTTCCCCTGAGCAAGCACCGTGGCATGATGTGTTCGTTTGACTTGGGAACTGGGGGGCTGGGGCAGATCCCGGGTCTCACGAGGTGTGTGTATGCGTGCGTGCGTGCGTGCATGTGTGTGTGTGTGTTCGCATGTGCGTGTGTGAGAGGATATTCACGGGGCAAGAGGGAACCGGTACAGGGGGTCTTTGGGGTCCTTGTAAATGGCCACAGATGGCAAACAAAGCCCCACCTGGCTGCTAGACATTGGGGAGTGCTGGCCTTCCTCCCATGACCAGATCACCTGCCACCAGGGACCTGGCCGCTGCCCTGGCTGGATTGGGTAGGTGTGGCCTGAAGGAACACACCCTGGGTTTGGCCCCAGAGTCCTTGAGCTGGGGGAGGGGGCGCCCTGGCTGTAGTGTGCCCGGCCCCCAAGGGTGCCGGTTTGAGGTTTTGGCTTGCTCCTTTGGGAACGGAAAAGAAAGAAGGAAGAGAGAGAGGAGGAAACCAAGGAAGAGTAGGAGACAGAGGTGGCACGAGAGAGATCTGGAATGCTTTTGTGTTAGGGTGCCTCTGCCGCCGCTGTCTGTGCTGGAGGGGCCTGGGGCTCCTCGGGCGGGGGGTCTGCTTTGGAGAAATTCATCTCCAGGATGTGCCGCTGTAAGTGCCGCACCCACTCCTCCTGGATGGAGAGAGGTCCCTGGAATTCCACCTCACAGAACCTGTGTGGGGGACAGAGAGAGGGAGGAGTGGCCAGTGCCCTGGCTATACCCTGAGTGTCCAACAAACCTGATGTTGCTCAATGTGGACAGAACCAGCTCAGGATTTGAGGGAAGGGAGCCCAGAAGCCAGATGTTCTCCAATGGACAGCTATCTCTACCCATCACGGGGTATTGGCCAGGTCCCCCGGAGCCCCATTTCTATGCTCAGGGCAGTCTGCTGGCTCAGGTGCTGGGTAGGGGTCATCTGGCTTTCCAAGCACCTCCACCATCTGACTGTAGGCATGTGCCCTGATTGGAGAGAGCAAAGAAACAGATCCTTCCCTGCCAGGCTCTAGGAGAGAAGGACGAAGCTAGGGAAAGGAGGGTCAGACACTAACGAGCACCTACCCTGCTCATGCACCCTCACCAGCTCCCAGCCCTCCCAGCCCTAAGGAAGGTCTCACAGCACATGGGCCCCAAACTCAAACTAGTGGCTGGAGAGACTTAGGTTTGAATCTTACTTCTGACTTGGCCTGTGTGGCCTGAGGAAGCCCTCTCACATCCCAGACTCCCAGTTTCCTGGCCTCTGATACTCACCTAGACTTTGGTATTAATAAACTAAGACCTAGTTTTTCTTAATCAGGAAGACACTTTTTGAGAGTTTACTGTGTTCTAGGCAAGGTCTGAGTGCTTTATAAACATTCAACTCTTTTAATCCTCATAACAAATCAATCAGGTAGGTCTGCTATTAACCCCATTGTATAGGTGGGAATATTGAGGCATGGAGCAGAAAGTCCTCGCCCAAGGTAACTAAGCTGCTAGGTGTCAGGGTCCCAGCCTCATGCTCTGAGGCATCTCTGTCTGTGAGGAGCCTTCAGCCTGGACCCAGCCCACCCCAGGGAATTGATTGTTGAGGTTCCATCTCCCAACCCTGAGCAGCTCCTGTCCTGTTCCGAGGCTCTGGATGGCCAAGCCCAGGCAGGTCGCCCCCCACCTCCCCTCCCTTTCCCAGGGGCCTCATACCTGCACTTGAGGGTATAGATGTTGCCGACGAACTTAACCAGTGATGTCTGGGGGGGACGAGGCACCAAGGAGGGGACTGGCCGGACCCGGGGTGGGGGTTGCCGCACCTCCTCCAGCTTCTGCTGCAGGTCATTGGCCTCCTCGCCCCCCCTGGCCGCAGAGGTATCTGCAGGGCGGGCTTGTCGGCGCTCAAATTCTGAAGAATGGGGAGGAGAGGGATGGGAGGTAAGCTGGAGGATGAGGACCCTGGAGAGGTTCCTCCTTCAGCAAGTGATGAGCAATTACTGTGGGGATTTGTAAGGCGGGCAGTTGGTGCCTGGATGCTGCCTGGCCCTGGTGACAGGTGGGATGGCGGATGGATAAATGAATGGGTGAGCAACTGAGGAAGTGACTCCAAGACAGATGCACAGCTGAAAACCTGGGGAACAGTGATGGACCCTGCTGGTGTCCATCGCCCTCATGACCCTCTGCCCCCAACACTCACTGTTGATGTTCTGCCGCTGGTGCTCCTCGGCTTTCACAGTGCCTGGTGGGCTGGCTGCCAAAGGCCGCTCACCACTGTCGGCTGCCCGGCCAGCCTCTGGCCCTGGCTCACCCCCAGCACTGCGGCCCACCACGGACAGGCCCCCAGGTGCCAGCCCCAGGTGTGGCCGCTTGTCGCTCTTTTCCCATCCAAACAGGGATGGGAAAGCAGGTCTATTGGCTCAGCAACAAGAACAAGCTACATCTTGCCTCTATTCGTTACTTTTCATTTCTACCCATAGTCTATGTCATTCTTGGTGAAGGGGCGGCCACCCTGGATGTAGCTGCGGTAGGCGCCCACCTTCTGGGGCCGGTGCTTGATCCACTCGCTCAGCGTCTCAATGGGTGAGCCATTCACGCACCACTCAGTCACACCGAACTGCCGCAGATGCGCCCGAGCATGGCTGGCCAGGGCCTTGCGGTTTTCGAAGTAAAGGCCACACAGCTCACAGCAGGCCTCGGTGGCTGCAGACAGAGGGGGCGCTGCTGAGCCCCAGAACCAAGGGAGCAAGGGTACCCAGAAGTTGCCGCCCAAGTCGGGAGACAGCCCCGCCTCCCACTGGGGCCTTGACCCCTGCTGGGGGTGGGCATGCGTGTGGCAGTGCCCGGCCATGCAGGCCCTGGCAGATGCCCTCCCAAGACCCTGCCACCCACTGCTTACAGGAGTGGGAGGTCTTCTCGTGAAGGGTCTTTGCCTTGAAGGGCAGTTCAGTCTGGATGTAGGTCTTGGCCTTGACCTCTGCAGAGAGGAAGCGATCCTCCTGCAGGGGTCGCTTGGCTGCCACTGAGCCCAGGTAGCTGGTGGCTGAGGGCTTGGCACCCGTGATGGGTGCCAGGTTGAGCTCACGGGGTACCTGGGCCAGCCCAGCTCCTGGTTTGCCTGGCCGGCCAGCCATTGGCACCAGCGGCAGGAGGGGCTGCACAGACCCAGGAACCGCTGTAAGGGGCCCATCCTCAACCAAGGCAGGGGCCAGGTCTCCAGCTGGAGGCTCCTTCTTGATGAGGCACGGCTTAGACTTCTTCTTAAGGATCTCCCGCAGCGTGTCGATGGGTGAGCCATTGACGGACCACTCAGTCACACCCATCTGTCGCAGGTGGGAGCGTGCGTGGCTGGACAGGCCTTTTCGGTTCTCAAAGAACTCACCACAGAACTCACAGCGGATGTCACGCACTGGCTCTGCCCGTGATGCTGAATGGGGTTGGGGAAGAGAGGAAAGAGAGAGGTGGCTACTGGTAGGAAGCCTTCAAGCTCCAGGCCAGTGTTAACTGCCCTGCTGACCCGTCCATGCAGTCCCAGACCCGAAGGACCTGCTCCCTCATCTTCCTCCAGGGGCCTTGGTGTACATCTAATCCTTCTGCGTGTTCTGTGACCTCAAAGTCTAGCTGGCTTCCAGAAGATTCCCTGGGACATGGTGATATGTTAAGGAGCAAGCAATCCTTTGATCCAGGGCTCAGATGCCAGGATCACTGGGACCCAGTGCGATGCTGGGTAAGCCAGTTGCCCGCTGAGCCTGTTTCCTCCTCTGCAAAATGGAGATGAAAACTTCCACCTCCCAGTGTTCCTGGGATGTGGGATGGCCTAAGGCGGGAGCAGTTGAGAGCATGAGGCACCAAGCAGCACGAAATCACTGTGCTAAGGCCTAGGGCTGGGCCATCCTCATCTGTTGGGCATGCAGTAAAAGCTCAGCCAATCTGACAGTGTGAGAAAGAAGTAAATGACAGGGCATTACAACTACTGCATGCACAGCTTTTTTAACCTGACACCTTGCTAAGCGCTTTACAGCACTTCAGAAAACCATACAGAGTGGGGACCATGCTGATACCTATCCTCCAAAAGAGGAAACTTGCCCAAGGTCATATATTGTTGAGTAGGGGGCAGCTGAGAATCTAACCTGAACCTGACTGCCACTTAGTGTCCACAAATGTCAGAGAGACAGTTTAGACCAGGGTTCCTCAAACTTTTTAAACAGGGAGCCAGTTCACTGTCCCTCAGACTGTTGGAGGGCCGGACTATAGTTTTAAAAAAAACTATGAACAAATTCCTATGCACACTGCACATATCTTATTTTGAAGTAAAAAAACAAAACGGGAACAAATACAGTATTTGTATTTGCATGTGGCCCGCGGGCCGTAGTTTGAGGACCCCTGGTTTAGACCAAGTTCTGGTGGGTTTCTATTCCTGCCCATGGCAGACATCACTAATCAATCCCTGCACTTTCTTCCTGGGAATCTGGTTGGTTGCCACTGTCCAATCAATTGAAGATGACACAAGAAATAGAATCTTTTTGCCATCACTGAGTGTATGGAGGAGAATCAAGCAGCAGCTCAGTAGCAGGAGCACACAGCTAGCTCCTTGTCTTCTGAACCTGTGTATCCTCCTTTCCATTTCAACTTGGGTCCTGTGGGTATCCTGGGGGAGGGGGTAATCCCCCACCTGACCTGTTCCCCATGCCTTGCCCAGGATCACACTTACACAGGTTCAGGGGGGCCATGTCTTCCCGTGGCGCCACCCAGGGACCCTCAGACGGGTGTAGCTCCCCATGAAGGGCCCCTGGCAGCATCTCACGCTTGATCTCCACACGCATTTGTTCAGGCTTCAGCTTCTTGGTCAGGGAGGGTGCAGTCAGGCCTGAGAACATCTTTCGGGCCGTGGGAGGAGGAGAAGCAGTTGGTGAGTGGCCCAGGGGGCTGCCTGGTGGTGGTGGCAACTTCTTGGCCAGGGGCGAGAGGTGAAGGTCTGCAGGGCTGCGGGCTTCCAGCGAGCTGCCAAGACCTCCGCTGCCCACCACCTTGGCCAAGGCTTTTGGACTAGGTCCTGGTGGACTGAGGGGTCCTCCAGGCCGGGACTGAGTCCGCCTCTTGAGGATCTCCCGCAGCGTGTCGATGGGCGAGCCGTTGACATACCACTCAGTCACACCCATCTGCCGCAAGTGGGAGCGCGCGTGGCTGGAAAGACCCTTTCGGTTCTCGAAGAACTCACCACAGAACTCGCAGCGGATATCGCGAGCTGGTTCTGGGCCTGAAGCTGCAGCAGAAGAAAGGGGCAGTTAGCACCATGGTTATCATAAGCATTGTCACCTGCGGGCCTCCTGGTCAGCTGGGCTGCAGCACACCCACAGGGCTGGGGTAGTGGTTGAGGGCAGGTGCAGGCCAGGGAGCTGAGGATTGGGGTGGGGGGCCAGACACCCAGCAGGAGCAAGGGGAAGCTCCAGAGAGCCATGGGCCCTAGGTCCTGGCGGAGAAAAACGGAACCAAGATTCCACGGCTCTGCAGGTCCCGACAAGGACTGGGGCAGGAGGGCAGGAAGCGGCAGCCTAAATGCCACGTGCCATCCAGACCAAGGACAACCATGGGCATGTTCCACACCAACAGGCAGCACCCCACCCTTGGCCTTCATTCTCAGGGAGGGTCACATTCATGGAGGTCAAAGGCCAAGAGGAAGGGCATAACAGCCGACCACCAACAAAATCTCTGGGCAGAACCGGCCCACTGCCAAAGGCCCCTGTCTACTCCCTGCCCCAGCAAGGAGGGAGTAGGGAGGGGGCTGCGACCCCCCCGGGAGGGGCTCCAGGGCCCGAAGGGAGGAGGGGGCAGCTGAAGCGAGAACCTACAGAGGTTGAGAGGAGACGGCTCCACATCAGAGGCCCAGAAAATGCCAGCGGCTGCGGCGGCCGAGAGGTCCTGCTTCCCCCAGGGGCTGGCCATACCCGCAGCCTTCAGCTTGGCCTTCTTGGCCGGCGGTGGGGGGGGGAGCAAGGAGAGGGCCGTGGAGGTGGGAGGAGGCCGCCCCAGCTGGGCCAGCACGCTGCGCCCGGGTGGGAGGCGATTCTGGATGCCGACCCTCCTGATGAGCCCGTGGAGCACGTCTATGGGGGATCCCTTGGCATCCGGGTCGCTGACGCCCAGGTGGCGCAGGTGGG